CCACGTAGGCTGTTGGCTGTTGGAAGGCGCAGGGGGGGGGTGATCTGGTGCCTCCAGCTCGTAGGCACTGTCGATTGCCCCTTTTGATGTCACATCCCCATGCGCATACGGACTACCAGCGGGATCTTGTTGACCCACAGCGCTGCACGCCCAGCGCACCGTGGAAGTGTGTCCTTGTCTTCCCGTACAGTGTCCGCGGTTTCCTACGCTTCTCTCTTGCCTGTGACACCAAGAAGGTTGATGACCTCCAGTGCCCAGAGCGAGGGGTACGGACCACGTGAGCTGTTGGAGGGCGCCTGGTGGGGAGCGACCTGGTGCCTCCAGCTCGTAGGCACTGTCGATTGCCCCTTTTCATGTCAGATCCCCAGGCGCATACAGACACAGCGGGATCGTGTTGGCCCACAGCGCTGCACGCCCAGCGCACCGTGGAAGTGTGTCCTTGTCTTCCCGTACACTCTCCGCGGATTCATACGCGTCTCTCCTGCCTGTGACATCAAGAAGGTTGATGACCTCCAGCGCCCGGAGCGAGGGGTACGGACCACGTAGGCTGTTGGAGGGCGCCTGGTGGGGGCGACCTGGTGCCTCCAGCTCGTAGGCACTGTCGATTGCCCCGTTCGATGTCAGATCCCCAGGCGCATACAGACGACCAGCGGGATCTTGTTGACCCACAGCGCTACACACCCAGCGCACCGTGGAAGTGTGTCCTTGTCTTCCCGTACAGTCTCCGCGGATTCATACGCGTCTCTCCTGCCTGTGGCATCAAGAAGGTTGATGATCCGTAAGGGCTTCGCCCCCTGCCGCCGGCCCCTTTTCTCGGAGAATGGGCCATGGAAGAGCTAAGTCATGAGGCCTTGGCGCTGTCGTGAAGCAGTATCGAAACTTCATGCGAAGCCGATTCGCAATCAGCAAAACCAACTGATCACAAGAGGGGTTACCACACCTGGCGATTGGTAAGACGTGTATGGTTTACGGGCTTGGTTACCACACCTTGCGATTAAAGGGCCGAGGGAGTTCTCGCAGTTTGGGTTACCACGCCTTGCGATGGATGTGCGTGAAGGGTGGCACCGAATTTCAGAAATGTGGCAAATCCCCTGTGTTTTTGGACCCTGACCCCGCGGATCTGCGTAAGGGGTGGCGCCGAATTTCAGAAATGTGGCAAATCCCATGTGTTTTTGGACCCTGACCCCGCGGATCTGCGTGAGGGGTGGCACCGAATTTCAGAAATGTGGCAAATCCCTTGTGTTTTTGGACCCTGACCCCGCGGATCTGCGTGAGGGGTGGCACCGAATTTCAGAAATGTGGCAAATCCCATGTGTTTTTGGACCCTGACCCCGCGGATCTGCGTGAGGGGTGGCACCGAATTTCAGAAATGTGGCAAATCCCATGTGTTTTTGGACCCTGACCCCGCGGATCTGCGTGAGGGGTGGCACCGAATTTCAGAAATGTGGCAAATCCCTTGTGTTTTTGGACCCTGACCCCGCGGATCTGCGTGAGGGGTGGCACCGAATTTCAGAAATGTGGCAAATCCCATGTGTTTTTGGACCCTGACCCCGCGGATCTGATCTGCGTGAGGGGTGGCACCGAATTTCAGAAATGTGGCAAATCCCTTTGTGTTTTTGGACCCTGACCCCGCGGATCTGCGTGAGGGGTTTCGATTTCGAGCCCCCCCAGCAATTCAGACAACGCGCTCAGGGGGTGCTAAAAATGTGGTTTGGGCCTCCCCCCCCCTCGCGCGGTCAATCAACTAGTTACAGTAACCAGCAATAAGTCAACTAGTTACAGTAACCAGCAAGAAGCAGTATTGTAACACTGGAAACTACAAGCTACAACTGGTACATGAAACTGCGAACCTCGCGCCTACAGCCTGGTGGCCCCACAAAAGGGCCGGCGGATCTCCAGCGCCCGGAGGGGTACGGACCACGCAGGCTGTTGGAGGGCGCCTGGCGGGGGCCACCTGGTGCCTCCAGCTCGTAGGCACTGTCGATTGCCCCTTTTGATGTCAGATCCCCAGGCGCATACAGACGACCAGCGGGATCTTGTTGACCCACAGCGCTGCACGCCCAGCGCACCGTGGAAGTGTGTCCTTGTCTTCCCGTACAGTCTCCGCGGATTCATACGCGTCTCTTTTGCTTGTGGCATCAAGAAGGTTGATGATCTCCAGCGCCCGGAGGGGTACGGACCACGTAGGCTGTTGGAGGGCGCCTGGCGGGGGCGACCTGGTGCCTCCAGCTCGTCGGCACTGTCGATTGCCCCTTTTGATGTCAGATCCCCAGGCGCATACAGACGACCAGCGGGATCTTGTTGGCCCACAGCGCTGCACGCCCAGCGCACCGTGGAAGTGTGTCCTTGTCTTCCCGTACAGTCTCCGCGGATTCATACGCGTCTCTCCTGCCTGTGACACCAAGAAGGCTGATGATCTCCAGCGCCCGGAGGGGTACGGACCACGCCGGCTGTTGGAGGGCGCCTGGCGGGGCGACCTGGTGCCTCCAGCTCGTAGGCA